ACAAATGTCCAAAATTGAGTCGTCTTTAAGACATCTTTAAGACAATACCTTATAAACTTGTCTTAAAGATGTCTTAGGCCGATTTTATATTTAAGATCATCTTAAATATTGTCTTAAGATGTCATGAACCAATCACAGAGCCGTATTCGCATCTTAAGACATTCCTTAAGACGGTTTTGAAATAAGATTCGACTATGAACACTGCCCTTAAAAATGTTTTAAAGATGTCTTATATCCCGTCGATTTTGCACATTGTGCTGTCTGAGTATACATTTTGCATCTCATATTTTTCACATTTCACATGTTTTTCACACATCTCATATTTTCACATATACTCTGATATAAGAATTATATATTTTATAACGTATCTACTTCTTGTCAAGCTTGCCCCGATACTTTCACATACATAGATTGACCCGAAGAATAAATGAGAAATAATAACAAGAATAGATTATCGGATATTCAGGTACACGAGTACAGGTACAGGTATTCGAGTGACTGGAGAAATAGCCGGGAAATTCCGACACTCAGGGAGGTACGTGGGATAGAGCCGGGTGCCCGGCATTGACATCACTGCACCAGGCACTTCTCCGACGGCCGCGCTCTCTCGCATTCCGCGTCACAAAGGGAACCTTTCGGCCACCGGGTACATACCATATGTCGACCGTATGAGAAAACTGGTCGACCGGTGAGACGTCTGCGGATTCCGTGTGGCCTCCTTAAGCAGCTTCTGCTTCTCTCTTCCCTTCATCCCCCGGTCGTACCATCCTCGAAGCGACGAGACGCGTACCCGTTCCCAAGAGCTCGACGGCTGTCCCCCGCCCCACCGACCTATCCGACCAATTATCTCTCCTCCTCCTCCTTTTCCTCCTCCTCCTCTTCATCGAAAATCGACGCGATCCGAGGTGATCGAAACGCGTCAAAGGGCAATCGGCCGTGTAGCGCCGTTCTCGACGATCGTTCATTCGTTGTTACCGCGATCGTCGTATCCCTTATCCCTTTCCGTACGTCGACCGCGTGTTTAATTAAGGGAATGTCCCGAAGTGGAGACGACGAACTCGGAGAATGTCGATAACGTAGAGGCGATCGTCACTGACATGATGATCATACCAGCCTTTTCATATTTCTTGTACATATAGATCTTATATAAACATACGTTGCTTCGTCATGTAAAAATCTTTCTGCAAACTTTTCGTATACTTTAGACCTTCTGCATTCAATTGCAAGGATACAGAGATGTTCTTTCAAATTTTCATTAGCGGAGCCAAAATACATGCGATACATATAAGCTAGAAGAACTTTTGTTATAAATGAAATCAAGCAAATATGTAGTAAATATCAAGTAGATACTTGCATATCAAGTGAATATAATTATGCCAGCTCGAAATATCAATTTTCAAATTTTTTCTTGCTCTCGTCTTACTCTTTTCTTGCTCTTTAACGCTAATTCGTTGCACATCTTTTCGGTGCACAAAAGCATTCGTAATTCTGCGCAACTAATACGACTTAAACTCTGCAGGGAAAAGTCAGTATCTCGTCGATAAAGTTTTCAAGTATCGTATCTCCTTAAGGCTCCTTGTATCTCGCCGCGGCCATGTTGGATTTGTGACGTTAAAAGCGAGGAATGACATGCTGACGAAAGTTGCGTGCCATTTCTAAATAAAGATAAATACGGAGGAAGGAGCACTTGAGATCGCTTGCGTACTTGTAACATTTTCCGGAAACTATTCCTTTTCCTTAACGATCAGTAAATAGTCGTATAATAAATGGTGAAACGAAGCATGCACACCGAGGGAAAAATTACCTTAAAATCAACAAATATTTTTTTTATGAATACCATTAACATATTTACTTAAATGTAAATTCTCTTTATTTAAATCAAATATTGTTTACCTGATTTAAGTAAGCAATATTTGGTTTAAAGAGAATTTAGATTTATATATATAAATAAATATGTTAATGGCACCCATCAAAGAAATATTTGTTGATTTTAAAGTAATTTTTCCTTCGGTATAAACAAAACAGATTTATTTCATCATTTCACGTGTCTTATTTCACTATTTATTATACGACTATTTGTTGAACATCAAGGGAAAAAATATCTTTCGGACAATTTTACAAGTGTGCTCAAGCAATCTCAAATACTTTTTCGTCCATTTTTATCTTTATTCAGAAATGGCGCGCAACTTTCGTCAACATGTCATTCCTCGCTTCTGACGTCATAAATCCGACATGGTGAGGTACAAGGAGCTTTAATCGCTGATGGTTCTTTCGACAAATCTACTAATCGTCATTCGAGGAAATTGCAGTTTCGTATTCGATCGAATTTATTCGATGCTCGAGTGGCATTCGAATCCCTTGAAATTGCGAAAAGTTGACGGCAGGATACTCAGCATGATGCGGGAGTTGACATCTGGGACAGTTATCATAATTCTGGCGGCAAGATTTGAATGTATTACGTTATTTTGTACGTTGTAAAATGCAATTTTGATTTGTTCATTATTTAGGAGAGAGAGTCCGAAGCTCAAGTAATTCGCAAAATGGCCAATTTCGAGCTTCACTTGTAAATCGATGAAAACTTGCAGGCTCGACTGCAAGTGTCAGGAATCATTTCGAAGAACAAAAGATTTGCAGTAATAGATAATCAAGTTTCGGGCTTTTTGACGATAAAGTGACATTTGTTGACACTCGCACAACGTCTTGTTAATACTCGACAGACTTATCAGTTACAGAGGCGTAATAATCCGCGCGACAAATTGCGAGTTAAAGTTGCCACCGCGCGACAACGTGCAGAATGTGACGGACTCGTTCTGATCTCGGCGTCGTAGTCTCATGACAATCGTGGCCGACGTTTCGTTCCATATTGGAAGCCGAAAGAGGTGACGTGGATCACGAGGAGACACGCGACGAGATTCCTGTGAATGGTCGGGACATACGCGATCCAAGGTACGCGATCTTTGCCTGCATTCGCGACTGACTCGTTGGCCCTTCGAGAGAGCCCGGCGAGGCGGGCCGCCTAAGAAAAGCCTTGATCGGCCAAGAGAGGATGGCAGGGGGAGGGCAGGAAGGGGACAAGGCAGAATTATGGCAAGAGGAGGGGGGCGACAGTCGACTCACGTATTCAGTACCCGATGCACCGTCGCGCAGCGTGTGTCGCTCCGGTGCTCTTGTGATCGAGGACCCATCCAGGACGTGTCGTACACGTCTCGGCCTGTGGAGACGTAGTCCCCCGGAAATAGTCCGCGTGCCGGACACGCAAGAGAGTGTCCTTTCGCGCGCGGCGCGACGAGAACGTCCTCGTCGACTCCCTGCATCTCTCGGAGCGTATCCCGCGCATTGTGCACCGCACGAATCCGTCGTCCTTGCGGAGCAGTCGGGCGCGATCGCAAGGACACTCGGCTGTCCTTCCGCGGCGGCGTACTCAGCGACACTCCGCTCTGTTCGCGGTGGATAAGTCAGTCGGCGGTGTCGGAGAGAGAGAGAGAGAGAGAGAGAGAGAGAGAGAGAGAGAGAGAGAAAGAGCGAGCAACAAGTGGTCGTCGAAGACGCGCGAGTGAAGACCGGCGCGTGCTCCTCAGGTCGACCTCAGGTCGCTGAGAGCCTCGTCTCCGGCCCTCCTCGTCGCTCTCCGGGCCATCCTCGAGGTAGGAGAGGAAGGTGAAGACTCTCGGAGGGGCCGAAGAAAGTGGCTCGAGGTCGGTCGGTCGGTCGGTCGGTCGGTCGGTCGGCTCGCTCGCTTGCTCGCTCACGCCGCACGAATCTTCGAATTCCTTGGCGAACGCACGCCACACGATGCAATCGCTCGTACACGTCGTGTAACGTCGCCGCCGTCATCGTCATCGGCACACGCGACGTGTGCACCCTGAAAGGAGACGCGGTGGTGAATCTTCGCCGTGAGGAGAGTCGCACGAGCTCGGTCGGCCGAATTGTTCGCGAGAGAAGCCGCCGCTCTCGGTGGAGTGCTCTGTGCACTCGAGATTGGACGCGCTTGGATGCTCCACATCGCGGTCGACCCAGGAATGCGCGCAGTTTTGTTTTGGTGGATGTGCTCTTTCGGGACTTGTCGCGGTGATCACTGCTTGGTCCGAGATTACTCTGTGTAGATCACACGCGCGCACTGCATCCTGGAGCTCTTCTGGAATAGCGTAGAGCACGAGATCTTGCGCGGATCTCGAAGGAACGGCGAGTCCAGTGACGTTTCAAGGAACATCTGACGTCCCTCGTTGTGCCGAAAGTGTGTGCTTCGCGACTCGAACGCCTGCCAAAGCCGAGGAACTCTCTAATCGCGGAGATACCGGTTAAATGACCCATCTCGTCGTCATCGACTGACGATAGCGTGACAATAACGCTGCGAAGGCGTATCGCGAACTCGTGAATGTCTGCCGAGGTCAAGTGACTGTTGTCTCGTTGCAGATTCGCGGTCGCCTCTCAAGGAAGTGTTAGTCGCTCTGATACGGGCTGCACCATCCGTCTGTATCTAGATCAGTGATAAGGGTTCGCAAATAATAGCTCGAAGTTACGCGCTATCGTCGTCGCGAATAGCGTCACACAGATCCCGAATCTGCGTGAAGCTCGTCGTAAATTACGCGACGACGTTTTAATGTGACCTCGTTTGTACACGCAATCGTGACGTCGAGATGTGTATTCGTTTGAAAAACACTTGTACATTATGCAAGATAATCGGGACCGTTAATGGGGAAGGTGCGACAGAATGATCATACCGACTCTCTCTCTCTCATCCATTCTCGTTCGAATCTTCGGAGCCGTCGCATGCTACTAACGGGAACGCTCGACGATGTCATCGTCCGTTGATGACGAGAGTCGTTTCGGATCGGTACTATAGTTGGCGAGGCTCCCACCTTCATCGAGCTCGAGTCGAGAGAAATCGCGCGTTTCCTCACGAAGAACTGTGCCCGGAGTTCGTTCCTTGTCTGCAACAGATCGAAAACGCGCTGATCAGTCGGAGTGACCATGATGAAGTTCAAATCGCTGTTTCGCAGAGGGCAACCAAGCCAGCAGCAGCAGCAGCAGCAGTCGACGCAGCAGCATCAGCCGACATCGCTGCGGCAGGCGCCGAGCGCCTCCTCCCTGGAGGCGAAGAGCGACGTCGCGTCGACTGGAAACAACTGGGCCGGCTCCCTAGGCGGCAAGGAGCCGGCCAGGCCCAACAACACCGCCAAGGCGCCGGTGGTCGTCCATCAGTCCAAGGGCGGTTCCGCCAAGGCCAGCAGGATGCAGGAGCTGGAGCGCGAGATCGAGACCCTGCGTAAGGATCGCGCGCGTCTCGAGGCGAGCCTACGCGACGCGGCCTGCGACGCGCAGATGTTGCGCGACCTGCGCGCCGAGGTCGCCGCTCTCAAGGTACGCTGTCCTATGTATCGCTCTCCGATCGAACAGATTCGTTGGGGTTATCAGTATCGACAGAGGCGGGTGCAGAGTGTCCCATAACGGCAGTCCGTTCGAAATCAGCTGAAAAAAAGATGTTAATTTGTTACTCGTCTGACTCTCTGAAGTTTAGCTCGCGAGAAAGTTGTCTCTTTCGTCGACTTGTGACTTATATTCGTACAGTGCTCGAGTAGTATGTAATTGAGCTTTTAGACTGTAATAATTAGTAAACTGTTGCAGTAGACTGTAATAATCAGTAGACCGTAGACAACCCCTTCTACCATCTCTCGCGTAATTTCACAATTTCCCTCTCGTACTTGTGCTTTCCCGGTGAAGAAATATTCCAAGTAATACTTCACATCTTCTAAAGAAGTGAAGTTTATAGGGAGTTCTGTAACGAGCGAAACGAGTGATAATCTAACAGTTTTTACGAAAGTAAAGTAGCAAAATACACTGGGATAACTAATTGCCGCGTTCCATTTTCAAGTCGCAGCAAAAACAATTATATTATCACTTATACCACAAAATATGCTTTAAAATGTCAGCTGTCAAAATATATACATAGATGGCCAACTGTGGGTCTGTTTTTTATTGCTGAACTAGTTTCGTACACTTTCGGAACTTAAAAAGAGACAGATATACAGATAAAATTTAATGGAAGAAGGAGAACTAGTGCAACCAATTCAGCAATAAAAACCAGACCCTGTGTATGGAATTGTCTTCCTAATACCAACATACCAACTAGATAAAAATTCGCGCGAACCTATGAATCAACCCAATAGTGTCTTATAGTTTTACAATCAGTCTATCTCTGGAATATTTTGCAAAATTTTGACATAATGGGAACATAAAGTTAACTTTCACTTTGTACATAAAGCGTGATTTTAAAACTCATGAATATTATATATTTATATTAGCGTGTGTGTCGACTGAGACTGGAACTGGAATACGGTTGAATAATTTTGGATCTCGAGAGCGTTTTGTTGGCATGCATGTGGTAGCATCTTTCGGTGTAACATCAGAGGAATGTCGTGTTAAATGACGTGTGACAATTATCTCGTTCTTAAGGTATCATGTAGCATCGCATTACCCAAATCGGTCAACGATAAATGGTTTACGTTTTTGATGATGACGAGCAAGTTCGAGGAACTCGCCTCCCTATCGGTAGCGATATAAAGGTCAGCTTATATTAATAAACACAATTTGATATTTCTGACGAGAAAGTATGTCGTCCTTCTTCTCATTTCGCGCGACGCGACCGACGCCAACTTTAGATCGCGCTATTTCGGATGCCTTTACCTTGATGCGGAGTGGAATCTTTCGTTTTAATTTCGCGCAACCGACTGTACAGTCAGTGGAGAGAAAAAGTTACGACACTTTTATCTCGATGAACTTTAAAACGGTGCGCCCGGCAACTGATAGGAAACAGTCTTCGAAGAGTCAGTAAAAAGAATTCATTTTTCTGTTGGATATCGATGCATAATAAACTCATTAAAAAGGAAGTCGCAAGAACTTTCTTTCATCGATTATGGATTCTTTTCAGCTAAATTGTCACATTGAAACCTCCTTCCGTGTTAGGTTATACAAGATATCTGACGATATATTAAGTTTTTCATGTATGCGTGGATTAGGTTAAATTGAACAATAGATATCTCTCTATCATTTTGTAAACAACCACGTAAAGCTTTGAATTATTAATTGAAGAAAATTGATGAATGCTCACGCGCGATGAACTGTGTTGGCGACGCCACTTGTACATTAGGCCAAACAAAAGCCATTTTGGAAATGAGTACGTAAATTTTTAGTTATTAATTAAAGAAGAGATTAGTAAACGATCATATATGATCATTTGCAGAATGGTAGACTTCTTTTGTTTAGTATACTGAGAGAAAAAATATCTAAAAAATAGTATGCATCTATCTGTAATAGGTACTAATAACATATACATCTAAATTCTTTTATTTGAACAGAATAAACAATTGTTCTTGTGATAAGTTAAGGTTTTCTTGAAGTTTTGAGAAAATATGTATTTTCTTATTTGACAGACATTTTATATCACTATAAGCAAATATGTTATTAGCGTAGTCACCGAATAAATATTTACTATCTTTTAAATATTTTTTCTCTCAGTGTACACGACAGATTTATATGTCATCGTCGAACACCCTCTATACTTGTTTGATTCTAAGGGCGAGACATGTGATCTAGTTTAGTTAAAAAGAACAGATGTTACATGCCGTAGAAATGTAGACCGGCGGTTGGATCGTCACAATTGCGACGATTATTTTCTTTTCGGCATCCCTACGTTTTACGGACACGTGAAATTGTATCTGGCGGTCCAACAATCGTCGCTTCCATCGTCGTGGACGAGCATAGAACATGATTTTTCGGACGAGACCGGGATCACATCGGGATCGGTGCATAGCGTAATTGTACCGGTTTCCCAGCGCTCAAAGACGTAACCGACGAGACCGTTAGAGCGTTAGAGGGAAGAAGAGCGGGTGAGAGAGCGAGGAGGACGAGACGATGCAAACGGCGTTTCGCGTGCGCGGAAACGGAGCCAGAGGGCGTAGAGCGCGCGGGGATATTTATGTAGGAGAAGAGCCGGGGAGAAGCCGAGCGGATTCGATATGAAAAAGCGTTGCTTTTCGTCTCTCACGGTAAATTCCGGCATCGGGGGTGGTCGTCCTGACTGGCGAATCGCGATTCCTCGTGTCTCCGCCGCCGCTCGTGGTCCACGTCGTGTTTGTGCACGTCCGTCGCGAATTGCCAACCGTTTCGGCCGCCAGCACTTCGTAAATTCTAACCTCGAATTCGGTTGGCTGGATCTCCCTTCCCCTAATCTCCTCGTCAGAGCGACAGTTACGGGACGTTGGCGTCCTGTAGCGTCGTTTTGGTTACTCGGACTTTGCTTCCCCGTCACGACGAGCGAACGCGCATGTTTATCATCGTGCGGCGCCGCGCGTGTTACGTCATACGCTGTCATGTTTGCGTCCGACGATTTTTTGGAGCAATTTTTTGTACGGGAGTCTTACGGATTCTTCCTCGTTCCTCGTTATTGTGTGGAAATTATGAATTTTCGCGACCGCAAACTGATGTGTATACGTAGAATTGTCAGATGCATGCTTATACCATGAGCGTCATTAACTAATGATATCGTTGCAATGATGCTCATACTATTGTTTAGATGTAATTGTTTCGTATCAATGTTAGATTTACAATGTTACTTTCCACAAATTGCAATATTATGTTTTAATTTTGTGCTTTTGTGATAATTTGTAGATTAATGGTCTGTGTGTGTTCAATGCTTGGATTAATAGGAACAGCACAGCCTGGAGCTAGAGCGTCTCACAGAAGAGAATGAAGCTCTTCGTGCTCGCCTACGAGATGTGGCACATTCTCCACTGTCAGATTCGGAGAAGCAGCAGCTGCTGTTAGACGCCTCCAGGCTCCACAATTCTGCACCAGCCTCCATTGCTATCCCCCAGGACGATGGGTCTGGAAACAGCACCAGCACGCCTCAGGATGGTGCTCAGTGCACCACACCAGACTGGGACAAGCATTCCTCCAGCTCTGTATCAGAGGTTTCAGTTGCGTGCTTGCAGGATAGAATTTTACAAATGGAGGAAACGCATTACTCCACGAATGAAGAGTTGCAGGCAACTATTCAGGAATTAAGTGATCTACAGGTTTGTTTTTCTTTACCTTTTCAAATATCCACACAATATACTACTAAAATTGTATATCAAGATATATATAATCTCTAATAAATTAATGTTAATTACATAGGCACAACTGACAGAGTTGCAAGCTGAGAATGAAAAATTAACCGAAGAAAAGGGTGTCCTTCTGGAGTCACTATGTCGCCAGACGGAGAAACTAGAAAACTCTCGCTCCAAAGTTGATACTCTGCGGGAGCTGCTTTTAAGAGAGGAGCAACCACAGGAAGCATCCAAGGGTTACAACACAGAAAGGGAACAAAAGTTGGTGGATCTTTTGAAAGTGAGTGCACGTGAATCTATATGTAAGAAGAGAACAAGAGGCAGCAGTCGTGAGGTCTAATCATTATTATGTCTACAGAGTGCACAGGAGGAACGCGAAGCTCTGCTTCAGAAGCAAGAAGAGCTGACTAGTGAACTGAAAAGTCTGAGGGTGACAGCTGACACGAGCGCCGCGGAGACCGAGCGTCTGAAGAAATGTGTAGAGGCACTAGAGTCGACGGTGGACACGGTGAACATCGAACGGAAACAGCTGGACTTGGAGTTGGCGGAGGCTAGACAGGAGAGTGCGAATCGCGGCATAGAGATCAGCAGGCTGGCGACCTTGCTGGAGAATGCGCGAGCGAAAATCGAAGAGCTTGAACAGTCGAGGCAGCTGGAAAACAAAAGCGAAGCGGACGAATTGCTGGATGCGGCCAGACGGGAGAAGGATACACTGGAAACGCAGGCGGCAGCGTTGCAGGAACAGTTGGCACGCTCGCATTGTGACCATGATCGGCTGAGAGATCAGTACTCACAACTTCAGGAAGAATATAAGGTATCATATGCGTCTTATGCATGCACCAAGCTTCTATAAAGCCTTAGCCTTATTCACTAGACCGAATTTATTTCTTTAATCGGTTTGTCCGGATATAAGATTCAAGAAATAACAAAATAAATAAAGATACAAAATGAATAAAATCTCCGACAACCATGCTTATAGAAAATATACCAAGTAAAAGAAAAGAATGATGCATACATCTTTCCTTTTTGTGATCAGATTATTTCTATATGCGAACGCAAAATTCCAGGTAGCGCGGAATAACGCAAAGTCCGCGATAGACGACTTGGAGTACAGACTGAATCAGCTGAAGGACGAACGACTGTCTGTGAGCACGGAGCTCCAGCTTGTCCGAGACTCCTTGGCGGAGTTGCAGGCGCAGTGTCAGCGGCACTTGGAAGACAAGAGAGAGCTGAAAACCGCACTGAGCGAGGCGCAGACGCACCAATACGATCTGGATCGCGCACTAGCCGACGAACGCAAGCTGAGGCGCGATGAGATCACGGAATGGGAGCAGTTCCAGACCGATCTTCTAATGACCGTGCGAGTAGCCAACGATTTCAAGACCGAGGCGCAGAGCGAACTGGAGCGCGTTGTCATGGAGAACAAGGCGCAGAGAGACAAGCTGAGAGCACTGGAGGCGCAGCTCGATAAGCTGAATAAAGGTAAACGGATGGAAACGATCGAATTCGACTTGAAGTAGCGATTGTTATGTGCTAGTATATTTGTGACAGAAGATGCGAATCTTCGTGATTGCGAAGATTTATGGAGAAGCCATTTCTAGTGTCACTGGTGAACGACACATGATGTATTTGCACATAATATACTAACACATAATATTCTCCGTGAGTATACATAATGAGAAAGGATATTTCTTGGTGAAAGCAAGCAAGAAAGAGAGAAATGTCCTCCAATTTGTGAAGAACGTTATTTCCTTTTCTTCATTTGATATTTTTTTCCATAAACAAATAATTATCGAGATTTTATTAATTTCGTAATTTTTTATATTTTCTCCGATCGAATTGCGCACTAGATAGCACTGCACTGAGTTGCTGCAAGGTACCACTCGATACTTTTAACGGAAATAAGCGGAAAGCTACGAATACCATGCTAAAGCGTGGTCGGACGGTACTGAAGAGACGTTACGACCCGAAAAAGCACTCGTTACTGCATGACTTGGTCAGAGCGAACACGATAACGACGACGACGATAACGACAAACGGCCCAGACTTGCACAGGACAAAATCCCCGGACGTCGGTATCTTTCCTCCGACTCAAAACGGAGATTTATCGTCGCCAGTTAATAACGCGAATGACGTACCGACGCTCAAGGAAGTGATCAAGTTGGAGGACAAACTAATCTCCGGCGAGGAGATCGAGATTTATCCCAATTTTCACATCGATAATCGACGAAGTACAGAGTACGTCCCGAAGAACGCGGACACGCATTTGGCGAGTACGAACTCGATGCAACGGAAGAATCCCAAGAACGAATCTTTCAAGTCTTGTTTAAAGGTCGACAAATCTGCGTGTTCTTCAAACGATAAATCTCCAATAACGATCGAGGACTATCCAAAGCTTTACATCACCGTCGCGAACACATCGGATCAAAACACGATGGCCAAGAACATGTTGCTGAAGAGCATTAGTGGTATTCAGAGCTCTGATGGGGACTCGTACGGTATCAACATCTCGAACAGCCGCTTCTTCGTCCCGAAGAATTACATCTTCTCCGGCGTGGAGTGTTCAATGGACGACCTGAAGTTCGAGGTCGACCCGGAGATGGGCAAGTTGTTGCAGAGAAGTTACAGCAATCCACAGATTAATACAGGTTCGCCTGGTCTGATCGACGTCGAAACGGATCGCACGTCTTTGAACGCTGCAACGGCGATGAGAGGAATGGAAACTCTGTTCGATAAGACGTCAATTGATTCGATAAGGCAACGCGAAGACCCTAAGTGCCTGAGGGCGCACTCGGATACGTCCCTTGCGGATCTGAAGTCGAGAGAGAGCGAGAAAGCCGAGCGAAAGCAGAGGCTGTTCTTGAAGAAGCGCGATTCGAAACCGAGTCGCAAGATCATCGACTCTCTCTTGGACGAAAAAACTCATAGATCTAAAACGTCTGTGATGTCGCAAGCAAGTAGAAGCAATCGTGCCGAATCGTCAAATGGACTTCACGATCGTGACAGTGTTCCAAAAAGCAAAAAAGAATCCAGGGGGACGAAATACACGACGCGTAAACTCCTTTCTACAACAGAGAAACCTCACGATTTAAAGATCGAAACAGCGGAAGAGAAAATACCCAGTCAGTTATGGACACCCAAGCACGCGATTATCGACGATTGTGAAATCGTGAAGAAAATATCTACGGCCGATACAACTATAATCGACGACAAAAAGAGTCTCGGTACACTGGCAGAGTCGGAAAAAGTTAGCTTGCCTGATGAGAACATTGAGTCCGATATCAACTCACCAATGTTTGGCAAAAACATGGATACTGCACTTGATGAAGTGAGCACTTCTCACGATTGTCCGGATGCTCTTTTAACGAGGCAAAATCAGGAGAAACGAGGCGGATCTTCAACGTGTAATGAACAGCAACAGAAATTCAAATACTCGAATTTGAACGAGACGAATCGGGCGAGTCGCATAAAGTTTCTGCAAGATAGTTTACAGACCGGTGTGAGTGAGTACGACAAACCTACCTACAGTTTTCATATCGAGAAAGTGAATCCTTTTGGGAATAAGCTCAGTGTGGCAAATGAAGAAACCAAGGCATCGCGGAGTACCGTAAATCTCCCAGGATTAGTCGGTAAGGATCAAGATTCGCCGTTCGGACGTACGTCATCCTTGAGAGAAAAGTATGAGACAATCGTGGAGGATGTGGAATTGAGGACGGCGCCGGGACGGCGCTTGCGTGTGCCCATATCTTGCGACCGTAAGTCGCTCGCACATCTTAGTGTGTTGTGGGAACCGCTTCAAGTACATCGCTCAAAGCGTCCCACCCACCTTGTCCGTCCCGGTAAACAGTGCAGAGCACCGTGTCGCTCCGCGTGTCGCTAGCATCATCATCTACATTATTGTGCCGCCCATGTTGTTCCCTGGTCATAGTTGTCGCTCGGCTTCCTCTATTTGTTCCTCGACTTGTCGTTGGTATCTCTCACGATACATATATATATATATATATGTATATATGTACTCTGGCTTTGTGTTTCTCTTTTATCGACATCACCGCCCACCCCTATTTGAATTAATCTGTGTAAGAGTGTGACGCTCCATGAGAACATCATCGTCAAAAACCATCGTTTGAATACTTCTCTAGCGAGTTATCAATTAAGTGTGCTTTATTCTACGTGCAAATCACGTACAGCTTGTCGCTTCTATTACATTGGGAATTCATGGTGGGAATTTGTTCTACAAGTGTGCGAATAAATGGGCATCTTTCAGCTAACCAGAAAACCGTGATACAACAACCACCACCGCCGCGACCGGCCAGTACGCCTACGGAGACCCAGCAGTCCGTGCTGACGAGCGTGCAGCAGGAGATGGCTGCCCGCAGGAAGGCCAACATTTCGCGGCAGGATTCGAGGCTTTCCGTGAAATGTTTGATTGAGAGCATCGAAAACGCCACGAAACAAGCTAAAGCTGGTAAAGCCGTTGTTTTTCTACGGTTGATTTAAGGTTGACTTAGGGAACGAAAAAGAAAGTCATTATTGCATCAAAACTCGAAGGTGAAGAGACACATTTATTTTTATTTTTTTAGGACCTGGAAGTCGTAGCAGCTCTACGTCATCCTTAAATTCAATCGGGACCAATGATATCATGACCCTGAAGGCGCCTCTCAGAGATCAACAACAGATCAATAACCTAATCTGCACGGCAAATTCGACGAATAACAATAAAACGCAGTCCACAATTGCGAGGAAATCGGCATCAGGTAACTTTTCATTGACATATCTCGCGAAGTAAAGCAATAGCTTTGGAAAGCATGATGATGATTCGCACAATGTTTCACGTTACAGAAACGAAATCAACGCCAGTAGTTCTGAGTCCGGGCGAACTGTTGGACTCGGCCGCGTTGAACGCCAAGGCGATCGACTTCGTTCGTCGGAACAGCGTCACTGATCTCTCGGAACGCAAAGATCCATTGTGCGGATTAGTTAAGAACGGAGGCTCTAAGCGGAACGCGTTACTCAAGTGGTGTCAGAATAAGACGATAGGTTACCGGAATATCGATATAACTAATTTCAGCAGTTCGTGGAACGATGGCTTAGCACTGTGTGCGATCTTGCACTCTTATCTGCCACGTAATGTGCCGTACGACACATTGACGCCGGTCGAAAAGCGACGGAATTTCTCGATCGCCTTCTCCGCTGCCGAGAGCGTCGGCATACCGACAACTCTGGTAAGTCGATCACTAGTGACGATCTGTTTTTCATTGTTTGTGAAAGTCTCATAAGTCTAATATCATTACTTTTAACTCAATTTTATTAATATGCTGAATACTGTCGTGATCATCAGTGACTGGCATTATAACAATGCCGCATCTCGTTAACTTGTGTATAGGATATAATTAATTACATCTGAAGAATTGGTTGCATGGCCAATAGGAAGCCAAAACGAGTTAAAAAAGAAGCGTGTATTTCCAATTACATTTCTTTGCCGTATATTATTCTTTATCGTACAACAGTGTCAGTGTCTCAATATAGACGTCTTGCAATGACAGTTCTGAACATACCAAGGGACGTGTTAAGAAAATCTACGACTTTATTAAATCTATCATTCGAATAATCGACTTGAATGGAAAACAAAACATTTCTGTCTGCAGAACATAGGCGAGATGTGTCAGCTTGAGCGACCTGATTGGCAACAAGTTATGACGTACGTGACCAGCATTTACAAACACTTTGAGACGTAACTGATGACATCGTTTCAGCATCGCCTAGTGTGTCAAGCACGTCCTACCTATAATATTATCCATTGAATGGAATCGCGAGCGAAGGAAGAACAACAACATCTAGTCAACTAAATTTGATAAGACGATAAAGAGGAAAAACGAAAGAGAGGAAGAAATATACGCAGCAGAAACGTCCGGAGATTTCTCGGGGATCGCTGAATCCGCACTGCCTACTATATACTAATCGTACTGCCTTGTATACGCGCTGTATATATATATCATAAAAATCTACGGCCGCTGGGGTATATACAGAATGAGAAAGACAGAACTGGATGGAAGACTAAACACCAAATGGAATTGCTGTTACTATGAGACTGAAAACTTACATACATACATATAATACATATATATACAAATATATATACATATATATACATATACATATATATATATATATATGTATATAGATACATACATCGCGCGCGCTTTATAGCAATACAAGCGGTGAATCTTTGAATGAATTTCGGGAGAGCAGGATTTTTCCGTGTTTCGCGATAAACCTGAGAAAGGAAATGGATAATAAACTGCAAGCTTTGCGAATAGTTTTCACGCAGAACGAGAATAGCATTTGTGAGAAGCGACACACTCAAATACACACGCATACACACACAAACACACACACACACATACGTACACACCACCGCCTCTGCATCGTAGCATATTCACGTTGCACGTTTTGCAAAGAATCGAGTATTTGCGTTCCTCGTACAGTGAGTATTTTTGTACGTGTATTATTTTTCGAGAAACTTTTTTGTAAAGTTCGCAAAAAGAGAGTGTACAGAACGAAGCGCCTTATAATTTAAGATATCTAATTTATTGCAATTAGTCGTATTTTAGCCGCTCTTATCGAACGAAGAGGACCCTTGGAAAGAGGGAGGAAGAAAGGAGAATATCATTTTTGCGTTTCATACTTTGTACGCCGATAAGGGAAGGAAGGAGGAAATTTTCGTCGCGCGAAGGTTAAGTTCTCTGTGATATAGCGAGATAGCCCCGAAACAGAGATACAGATATTGTCGTTATCGCTAATTACTATAATTATACTCTATTACCGCTATAATATATTATCGTCCTCATCGTCATTGTTGTACTATCGTATAGACAACACGGACAAGCTGTCTGATGTAAAACAAATAAACTTGCCTAACGGATATATCAGATCCCGTTAACTCTGATTAATTCTATCGCGCTATATCGGACAGTTATTCGACACGTTGACTGTCATGGTAGTAGTCAGCAGCGCTATAATATCACCGCGTCTCATTAATCTACTCATGTAAAATTTAGCTAATTGTATATAACAAATTAAATAGGTAATGAAACAAACCATCATGTAACGGTCTCTTATCCAAATTGTCTCGGACAAATCAGTAGGCAGCGTTGGTTTTGATGTAATATATTTTTAAATTTTCTCGAGAATGCCTGTCTATGTACAAGTGGGCTGGGTCGCAAGATTGTCGAGCGTAATGGTAGTGCCCATTGGGAGATCTTGAGCATAATGTTCAGTGCTTGGAGACGTGTCCTCGGGAACGTTGTTCGGTGGTGATGCCTGGTGCTTGTTGCAGTAATCGCCGAGCTTTGTCCAGCCGAGAGAAGTCGCGGAACCACGACTGAGAAGTGAATGCTTTTTTGAAAGAGTCACCGAGACGCGATTGGGATAGCGAAAGGGAGAGACTAAGAGCCTTAAATTCTTGTATTTTGCCGGTCACATCAGATTTGTAACGTCAGAAGCGAGGAATGACCTGCTGATGAAAATTGTGTGCTATTTCCGAGTGAAGATAAATATGGACGAAAGAGCATTTGAGATCGCTTGAGCACACTTGTGAAATTGGCTGAAAGGTATCCTTTCAAATATCACTTTGTATTTTAATTAGTATATTTTCTCGTTCCCGACGTCATCAATCAGTTTCTCAGTAAAGGACTAGAGTTTCTTTTTGCACAGATATATGGCAAAGTTACAGAATAGGAGCCCGAAGAGCTTTAATAATGGCTTGAAGAGTAAGAGCCTAATGGTTTATTTCTTTAATTTTCCCCAGAAGAGATCTTGTGGAATTTTTCTGTTCAATCGGCGAATGAATTTCATCTTTATTAGACGCAAAGATATTTGGATGGACTTTTCGACAATCTCTGTATCTTTAGCTGTGATTCCTAATTTCTTCTGATAATAGGAACTAGTCAAGATACCAATCAAAAGAAATGCACTTCTCTTTCTGATATCAGTGTCAGATAAGTGAACTTACCTGAAACCCACACACGTGTTTGCTTATTTTGTTCGTTGGAAACTGTGAGGCGCGGTATGAGTAGAAAAATGCATGCTTTATTATCGCTTTAGATCGGATTAATTTGTATATACATTGTGTCATATTTACAGATGTTTCGAGTCGTATTCAACGGTTCATCGCATTGAATAAGTCAGTAGAATCGTCCAGTTTGATATATACGTGAGAAGTCTCAAAAGCTACTTGCGTCCGAAACTTTAGTCGAGTATTTAACTCTTAGCTACTCATCACGGCCATATTGAATTGTGATATCGACTGATTAAACGCTGAAGATTCTTGCCTGCCATTTCCAAATAGATACTTCCACGAAAGAACGCTTCAGATTGTTTAAGCTTGTAAAATGTTCCGAAAAATATCCTGTTTTCCCTTGATAGTCAATGAATAGCTGTAAGATAAACAAAATCACGAGAAAAGATAGGCGATTAAGGAGGGAGATTGCACATCACGCTAATTGGACGGCTATTTATTAACTTCTCAAAGGGAGAAGAATAGTTTTCAGAGCATTTTGTAAGCATGTTTAAGCGATCAGAAGTGTTCTTCCACAGAAATATCTCTTGATTTGGCGCGCAAAGATTCTAGACAAACGGTTCCTCAGTACTGACGTCAATTCAGAGTTTAGCAGCGAGTACACAGGAGTCTTAATGTAAAAGTTGTGTCGTTCAAAAGAGGCCGTGTCCAACAGCTTCGCCGTGACGCTCCGCGAAGAAGCGACAGTAGCGTCGCTCTCTCGTCATCACGTGTCGCTCGTGTCCATCTTATCCTGATCCTTGTCGCCGGAGTAATACTCGTTCGCCGGCTCGACGATTTTGTCCGTGTCCTGTACGTTCTGCCGAGAGTCCGGGTCCGGTTCCGGCTGGCGTTCCTCTTCCGGTGGCAGCGCGTCGCACGGCACGTCCTGCATCTGCACACTCGGTGAGTGCTGGATCATCTTGAGATTGTCGCAGACATGCCGCGTGATCGCCTCGAGGTACTGCTTAGAATTGGCGTTGTCCTGCCGGGTCACGACCTCTGGATGCAGTGTGAAGTCCGGCGCGAAGTATTCCAGATATTCCGTGTACGGCAATTCGTTGCTGATCTGTTCGTCTACAAGCAGCGAGGTCTCGTAGGTCCAGCAACGCGCGACGTTGCGCAGAGTGTAGCCGCCACCGCCGACAGTCAGTAACGGCACGTTCAGATCTCTGACGAACTTAACGCAGTCGCCGTGGCCTTTCGTGCTGAGACTGAAGCAGCCAAGCCGATCATTGGCGAGGGAATCGGCGCCGCACTGGAGCACGATCGCTGTAGGCTGGAAGAACTCCATGACGTGCGAGATGACGGGCTTGAAGACCTGCACGTAGGACGGGTCGTCAATGCCTTCTTTCAGCGGCACGTTCACAGAGTAATACCTGCCACTCTCGGCGCCGATCTCGTACATGTCGCCAGTGCCGGGGAAGAAGAAGTTGCCGTATTTGTGGAAGGAAACCGTCATCACGCGGTCGGTAAGGTAGAACGCCTCTTGTACACCGTCGCCGTGGTGCACGTCGATGTCGATGTACAGGACTCGGGCGTGATATTTAAGCAGCTCCAGGATGGCGATCACGATGTCGTTGATGTAGCAGAAGCCGGAGGCCTCGAATTTTTTGGCGTGATGCAGACCACCGCTCCAGTTGATGGCGATGTCGCAGCAGTTGTTGTTCAGCTTGGTGGCGCCTTCCAGGGAAGCGCCGGTGTACATCGAGCAGAAATCGAAAAGGCCTTCGAACACTGGACAGTCATCTCCTACGTTAAAATGACTCAGGTACTTGGTGTAGCCCTGCAGGTTCTGCGGCGTCACCCGCTGCAGGAACTCCACGTATTCCTCCGAGTGGAAACGACACATGTCATGCGTGCTGGCGCGATAAGGACGGTAGATTTGCATTTTCTTGTGCAGACCGTAGTTCAGCACGAGACTGTGGATCACGGACAGTCGGTGGGGCTTCATCGGGTGGCCCGGCCCGTAGTGGAAGTTGCCCACGTCCGGATTGTAAAAGTACGACACCTTTTTGTTGTAGCCCATGTTTGAGGTTAGCCGAGCGACCAGGAGCTTCAAGCTACACACACGTCGACGAGGTTAGGTACCTTTGTTTCTCGAGGAAGATGGGAACATCGTATCTACTCGCCGAGACGAAGTTTTCTTAGTTGGGCTCCGTGGAACGTGGAACGCATCTTCTCAATGATATAAATTGCACGTGTAACCGTTGCTCGAATTGTTTGATAGCTAGCGTCTTTCGTGAAACCGCGATGACGTCTTCTCGTCGCTCGCGTTCCGCACGGCTTCACAAAAATCGCCGCTACATTGAAGCCAACACCCTCTATCTTCTTTATCGCGGAGAGGAACTGAGAATCGTCATGTCGCGAAAATCGCATTTTTCGATACGCCATCTGAAAAAGTGGATATAAAACAACTTATTTTTCAAAAAGCACTAGATTACTTTTTGTCTTCTTTTATTCTTTATTTTTATATATTTTATACTTTTTATACACTGACGAGAGATAGTATTAAAGGCTTAGGTTGGTCTACGGAATTTTGCATACCAGAAAATCTCGTTATTTAATAACCTCCTGTAGGTAAGTTTGTCGATAAAAATGTGCAAAATCAATATAGATAACTACAAAAATATAGTTTTATTTCTAATATAGTTTTTGTTGTAGATCTTTATATATAGCAATAGAATAGAGTTACATTAACATAGTTGTAAATTACAAAATTAATATTTCATTATACACTGAATGATTAGGTATTTATGTAGAATAGCTAAAAATAGTCGACAATGTCATCTTTCTACAATTACCTCCGCGGACCTTTGTTGGTACGAAAATCTATGGCTAACAGTTTTTAGTAATATCTCATCGGCGATATTTAATAAAGATACGTACAAATGCATGAGAAATAAAAAAAATATATATAATTGAAGGATTACTTTTCTCTTGAAATTTAGAGGGAGTTGATTGCGCAACATAAAACTTTTCTTTTATTCGCAGTAAATGCAATGGTTTCATTTGATAGAAGTTTAATATAAGGCGAGTAATTAGTTTTTTTAAGTAACGGTTTACAATGTTTATTTACAACTGTAAATACTTAAAACGTGTTCTCCTGCGTTCAAGCGAGGATATACAACTTATGTTAAGTACGCGCGTCATGTGTGACATTGATACGTAGACTAGATCAAGGCTACGACGAAGTGTCAAACGAGCCGCGTTTTCGTCGCGCATTTAGCACAGAATGTGCACAGTATGTTCAGCTGCGCGATGTATTCTATACGAAATCTGCTTCAGCGATCGCATTAAATGCCAAACACGCGATGAGAATACGGACTAACGGGCGTTGATGATTTATCTATCTCCCGCGGAAACTTAGAAGTTGATGGGTTTTCCAGCGTAGGCTGACAAATGTGCTTCCCTAAGTGCCTCGGCGCATGTCTGAAGAAAAAAGAATGCGTATGAGGAAGAGATTTGTAAAATTCCACCCAACACGCATCTAAGGCGTTTTAAAAATATGCAAAAGATGTAAAAAAAATAGCATGTTTTTCTGTCGTTTTTAAGATGATTTTGAGATATGCGTATTGTGTGGGATGATTTCATTTTTTTCTTATTTCAATTCTATCTTATTCTAATTGTTCACTAATCAGTCAACCGATTTTACGATGAAAATCTGTCCACCATATAAATTAATAATTTTGAAATCATAATATAATCGATATAGCTAATCACACACATATGTATGACTGTCATAATACAGTCGAAATAATTAATCATATATATGTCAATACATATGTGTATGTTGATAAGTAATATATTATGTGCGCGCGAATTATAAGTATTAAAAAACTATTCTAACAATCAAATGCCAAAATACATACCGGATGTGCGTGGCATACACGTGCAACGTCTTCCGCGCTAGCACCGTATTCCATTGCAAGAACCGCCTCGTTTATGAGCTCGCCCGCAGTCGGTCCGATCATGTGAACGCCCAGAATTTTATCCGTGTTGCTGTCGGCGAGCACCTTGGCGAAACCGTCGGTTTCCAGATTCGTTTTCGCTCGGGAATTCGCCATGAACGGGAATTTACCGACCTTAAAGTCGATACCCTCTTTCTTCAGATCTTCCTCCGTCTTGCCGACCCAACTGACCTCAGGATGCGTGTATATTACACTTGGGACGCAGTTGTAGTCTATATGAACCGCTCCTGCATCGAGAATTCAAAATAATAATCACGGTTCAATTGGTAAAACCGAATGAAAGGAAAGCAGGAGAATGAAACAAAGGAAGACAAAAAAGGAGGAAGACAGAATAGTGTTTCCATGCTAAGCCTTAACATTAAGTTATAAATTAAGGTGAGCACAAGTTACCTCCAGCAATACCCTCCACTGTAATTATGCCCTCATCCTCCGCCTTGTGAGCCAACATCGGGCCATGAATACAGTCTCCAATGGCAAAAATACTGTAAGTTTAATTAAAATAGTAGAAACAGTTTCTCAAAAACGTAGAAATCATTTGTCAAACAAGTATCAAAGTAAATTGGAAGAAACTGATGATTAATGGCAAATGATAAGACGACGAAAAGATCACACAAATTCAGCACCTACCTGGGTACCACTGTCTGGAATCGATTGTTGACAGGTATTCTGCCCTTCTCGTCCCTCTCGATGCCCATATCCTCCAAACCCAAGTTGTTCGTGTACGGCCTCCTGCCGACGCACACCAGCAACACGTCGCACGCTATGTCCTCCTTCTTGCTAGGGTCTTTCGCATCCTCGACGGACACCACGATCTCGTTGCCTCGTTTCGCAGCGCTCGTGACCTTCGTACCCAGCTTGAACTTCAAACCTTGCTTGGTGAGGATCTTCTGCATAGTTTTGCTAACTTCTCCGTCGATACCCATGCCGCCGATCGTCGGCATGAACTCCACCGCAGTTACGTCGGAACCCAGCCTGAGAATGAAAATTGTTGAGAGCATGATTTGCCACGGATTGAATCGTGAGAAACAAACCTCTGCCAGACTGAGCCTAATTCCAAACCGATAACACCAGCTCCGATAACAATGAGCCTTTTGGGGACTTCGCTGAGCGAGAGAGCGCCAGTCGAGGACACAACTTGCTTCTCGTCGATCTCAATGCCGGGGAAAGGTGTGACTTCGCTACCGGTCGCGATCAGAATGTTCTTGGTGTTGATGGTTGACTCCGCCGATCCGTCGGGATTCAGGGCGGTCACCTGATTCTTGCCGGTAATCTTTCCGTGACCCTTCACCCACTCGACCTTGTTTTTCTTGAAGAGACCCGCAATTCCACCAGTCAAAGCCTTAACTACGTTTGTCTTCTGCTCCATCAACTTGTTGAGGTCGAGCTGAACATTAGATACTGCAAGGAATCACAAATGTTTGGTACTGTATATTTTGCACGATCAATTAATATCTTCATTTATTTTAATGGACTACTTTGTAATTAATATCTTCATTTATTTTAATGGACTACTTTGTAATTTAATTTGATTGACTAATTTTTTTAGTTATGTCTGAATGTAGTACAGTTGTTAGTTTGTAGTCTGGTTGTTTACCAACGACACCACGGTTCTGCAGATCACCGCTGTGTGCCATGTGATAGTAGTGTGAATTATTTAACAGTGATTTCGATGGAATGCATCCAACGTTGAGGCACGTGCCACCCAGGGTTGGATTTTTCTCTATACAGACTGTCTTCATCCCCAACTGCGCTCCTTTGATCGCAGCTACATAGCCACCAGGACCAGAACCGATCACCACTAAGTCTGCGTCCAGTGTGCTGGCATACCTGCGTTGCTGGACAACTGTCATACCTGGGAGAACACGCTTCAAGCATGTTGGCTGAGAACAAACAAAAAAGATGAATGAATTGTAATATCCTCTAGTGCATCAATGATCACGTTCAGGAGACACAATAGATTAGTGATTGGCTTTCGAGAAAAACAAATCTAATTTTTTGAATGTGAAGGTAACATGGACATAACCAACACATACGAAGCAATGACATAACCAATTTATGAGGCAATCTTGAGCTACGATACGGACCCAAAGGGTCTCCCAGCAAATTCTCAGAAAACAAGGAATAATTTTGGCGATTAAAACAACAATAATTATGATTTTCTATGTATTCATGAGGAAAAACGTAGGCAAAAACACGTCCCAGGAGACGTTACGAAAGAGATCACTGAATGATAGATCGCTCGCACGCGACCTCGTCAATGGAGATTATTGCGGCGATCATCGTTTCATGTCGAGCGATTTTTCTTTCAACTTACTTTGATGTTGGCGGTCACTAAATTCCAAAGGTTGGCTTGCATCATATTTTTTCTAAGTTTACTACAAGTCCCGGCACCGAAGGGACGGAGAAGGAAAGGGTCCACGGCAGTATACGTACAAGTTCTCGACCGGTGTTATTGCGATTATCCACGGAACCGGATGTCCCGGTTGTTAATTCGACGTTCAGTTTCGCAGGCGCGTCGCGGGATGGCGCTGGAGGACCTATTCAACGACGCTTCCCTTATTTCGAGGAGTGATGGAGGGGGTGAGTGGAACAAATCGGGAAAAGTGTTTCTTTGACGCACGCGTTTGACCGCTTTTTCTTTGCTGAACGATGCATCCGCTGCGAAAGATTCCGCGAGAAGTCATACAAGTCAAGAATAACGGCATTTGTTGAGGAGGTAAGTTTTTGAATATTAACGGCAATCGAAGCGATCCGTTATCGCCGTGACTTTTCACGAAATACATAGCACGCGTGTCGAACTTGGCATTAACTCGGGGCGAGCGAAAATCGCGAAGGAAAGACGAATCGAGGATGACTAATAGGAGCGCGAGGCGCGTCGAGGAATTCTTCCCTCGACGAAAGTCGCGGATCGATTGACGACGCATGAGCGTTTCAGCGGGCGTCGCGACGCGCCGTCGTCCCGCCTCTACTAGTCATAACTCACGACGAACCCTGCGAGCCCTTTCTTCTTTTCTTCTTTTTTTTCGCGGGGGAGGTTGGAACAATCTCCAAATTTTCAACTCGTACCATTCTGAGTCTGTATCATACAGAACACTCTGCGCCCAACTCTACACACGTAAACAACAATTTCTACGGAAAATGGACCGTCGGATTTTATCGTCGAAATTTCTGTGAATTCAGAAAATTCGTCCCGCTCAGACAGTTTCTCAAGCCGGACGCGTTGCACGTTACACTCGGTGAGCCCGGCATTGCCAAGATCGGTGTCGAGACATATGGTTCCTCATTTGTGATAAGAATCCCTCTGGTCGGAAGACACGCCGAGCTGCTTTTCCGCGTGCCACCTTGTACAGTGGGTTGCAAAATACAGCTTAGACACTATGAAATTGATAGCTCATCGAGCAAAGTTGTGAGTCATTACCGACGGACGCTTACGTAATAATAATATAATTAATGATATAATTAAGAACACTAAATAATTATAAGTAGTAATATACTTATGTATAATAATAATAACGACTAATAATATAATTACTAGGAAAATTTATCGCATACATAATAATGACTCTTAATTATGGCAGTTTGGTGAGCTCCCAACTTCAGAATCTAAGATTTATTAATAGTCGTTACTTGAAGTTTGTTTCACATGAGATATTCAGACTTTTATTCAAAATTAGATTCAAGTTTTTTAGTTGAATTATATGTGATAGTATATTTGTAATCGCGATTTAACTGAAAAACTCTCATCTAACTCTGAACTCAAATCTGAGTATCTCACTTGAGAGCAATTCCAAATAATTGAGTAATTAAAGTAACGGTTATTGATATGGATCTGTGTGTGCTTGAGCACACAGAAAAACATTAGTAGGACTTAAGGAATTTATTCACTAGATACATATTTCTTAAAAGGCGTATCAAAGGAAAAAATTTACAAATCAAACTGTCGGAAACAACAAGTTTTATCAAAATTACCAATAAATTATTATCTCACTGTAATTACAACCCAGATAGCACAGAGAATTCTAAAAGAATTCAGTCGCATGTCACCAATTCTGAGTTCATTTTTAGATACAAAAAGAATTCTTTTCCCTGAACTGAACTCTGAAGAATTCTTTTTACATCTGAAAATGAACTCAGATATACGACTGAATTCTTTTTGAATTCTTTTTGAATTCTCTATCTGGGAACGTAAGTAATCGTTTTTGAATTCTCTATGCTATCCGGGAACGTAAGTAATCTTTGGATCTGACAATAATTTTGCATCTTGAATTACGGCAAATGTTGCGTGCAATTTGTTTTCGGCGAATAAAGTCCTGAGAAACCGTTTTGCAACCCACTGTACATCACGCGTGCGTGGTGGCGAACGTAACGATCCGCGGGCGGGAAAGAGAGGGAAAGCGTCTCGCTCGGGGGGTTGGCTGCGCGGGCAGCAAGGGGCAACAGATGTCCTTCCGCATGACGCACGGGGTGGCCGCGCGCGTCTCTCTCGCGGGAGAGACAGTCTCGGTGGTGGTGCCTGTGTGCGCGTCGCGCCGCCTTCCTTCGTCTCCGGCGAGAGGATCGAAAGGACGACCCCGGTCTGAGCAGGTATGCACGAGATACTTGGCACGATCTTCGAGCGCGCATCTCGTATCGATGCAATCGTCGCGCCTAACCTAACCTAACCTTGAAGCGGCGCACCGCGGAGCGATTCGTATCGCGGCTAATTTAACGTCCGCGGTGACGAACGCGCGATTTGTGCCGCGAACGACGACCGTATCTAATTCGAGGTGTCGATGGCTGCTTTACAAATATGGGAAATCGAATCTCGCGACCGCCGGACTTCGTTCGTGTCGAAATTCGTGCGTGGCTTCGGTTCCCTTTACACATAACTTGTGCCTATGTATGCAACGACGACCCACTCAGTACGGCATAACCTAAATACGTTGTAATGATTGTTCAACGTGAATCATTATACTACGGTAACGATAAATTTTGAGTAATCAGCGGTGCAATCGGGGGAATAGCGTTCTCCTCGTTCCCAGATAATACAAAATCTTCAGAGAATGTTCTAGAATGTTCTTAGAACGTCTTTAGAATGTCTTTTGAAGATTTGTGTTGTATGAGTTAATTCATTATACGTTTAGGGCGATAATTAATCGCAGTTTGTATATTCCAAAGATTGTAGAGATTGCTGGTAGGTGATTAGTCCAAAGCCTGATCTAAAGTGTGCTCTTTGCTATCTGTTTCTTGTTCTCTATGTCTTTCTGGCTAAAAGGTCAGAAAGAGATAAATCATATTGAGAAAATAATAATGTCCCAATGATTGAAAATATATTTGTATTTAATATTTCTAAGGAAGTCTTTGAAATTTTGTTCTAAGATATTTCTGTATACCCCAATTTGTAATATTATTTAATGACCATTCAATATTACTAAGTCCGTATTATTAGGACCTTAACTTAGTTTCCGCCCAAAAAATACTGAGAAAAAGCATTTATTGTAAAAAATTTATTTAAATTATTTCAATGAAAGTATTTTCCATCACTTTCTACAACTTTTTGCCATCTTTCTGGCAACTGGGCGATACCATCTCGATAAAACGATGTTTGTTTCGAAGCAATCCATTCGTCCACCCATTCTCGCACTTCTTCAACATTTCGGAAGCGTG